ATCCGAATTATTTCCTTCCGAAATTTATCCGTCTCGTGTAATCTTTCTTTTCGGTCCGTAATTTATCCGTATATTATTTCTTCTTTTAATAAAATGATTGTTTCAACTTTTATCATATGACTTTTCCTTGTAATTTTTACTGTGTAATGTTGATCATTTCTTTTTGTATTGCTGCGCCTTAATTAATGAAAATGTTGACTCTACAACGTATACAAATCTTATAAAAAACATATTATTTCCTTATTTCGATTTCTTATAAGGTTATGAGGAAGGGAAGTATTATTATTTGTTGGTGAAAAACAATTATTATTATTAATTGTATATGTGGGAGAAATATTAGGTAACAGAATATTATTCGTTGTATTAATTATTAATGGATGTATAATATGGGATATAAAAGTGAGATGGGTTTGTATTAAGCGCAAACTATTCAATCTGTTTGAACATTAAATCTATTTACCTTTTTTGTTCAATTATAATAGCAGCTTGTTCATTAACTATATTAATTAAGTCAGGTTTTGGAGTCACAATTTGTGAGGTTAAAGACTCATCACTTGATAATCCAGCAATACGAGATCTTTGTTGAGTGTATCTTGTGATCTTGAAATTAAAGGAGAGGTAGATACAATAATGATAGGATCTTTTTCTTTATTGACAATATGTGATGGGATCTTAGGGGTCTTGATATAAAAAGAGGCTTGAAAGGTTTCTAATTTGGCAATTCTAGCATCAAGATCATTCACATCTTTTTTCATATTGGAGAGAATGGAAAGAATTTGACCTAGTTTCTTATTGATATCGTTATTAGGATTATGAACAGAATCTTTCACAGTCAGTTTAATAGTATCTTTTGGTAGAGAAGGTGAAGGAATCTTCTTATTTTTGATGGCCTCAGAATAAGATTTTGAAGAATGATTAGATCTATTAGAATCCACAAATTTTCTAAAATTGATAGGTTTAAATTTGTTATAAAATCTTTACATTGAATTATTTTAAGTGGATGTCCTTGGTTTAATAAGTTCTTCATTTTCATTTAATGGAATTGATTTTTGTAAAAAAGGGCATTTCATGACAAGATGAGCTGGATCGTTATATTTGTGACAGCTTCTAATATTAGGAGAATATCACATCAGTTGATTATTGCCAAAAGCAAAGTTTTGTTAAGTTGTTTGGTTGAGAGTTTCCTTATTTTCAAAATGTAAAATAACAAAGAAACAAGGTTTATAGTTGTTAGATCTTAGAATATAACTGGTTTTGGCTTTAGTTGTAGGAATTATATCATGAAGGTCTCTTACAGAAGTACCAAAAGGAAGATTTGTTAATTTGATGCAATATGTATTCCTATATTTAATTTCTTTTGGAGACAAAGTGCAAGGATTGACACAAACAGAATCATTCTGAATGAATCGACTCCACACTTGATAAAATAGCTCAAAATATTTAGGGTCTTCATAAGTAATATAAGTATATTGCTACATACCTTTTACTGTCATTTTAAAATTAGTAACAGTTCCATATTTGGCAAAAACTTGTTGATATTAGCAGGCTTCATTTGTAATGGAATATCAGTAATATAAATGGTCCTTTCGTTGAATTGCATATTAGCTTTGTATTGAGAGAAATCACAGAATGTTTCGATCTTAAGATTAGAAATGATCATGTATAAAGCTGCAGCAGCCACGTCTGATATCGTAAAGTAGATAATTACCAAACATGATAAATTAACGTGATGAACTGAGACTCCTCTAAAAACATTATTGATGGCAAGAATAATTTTGCTGTTGTTCTTTTCTTTGGGGATAAACTTGATATTACTGGTAACTGCAAAGGGAATAGCTTTTGTAATAACTGTGAAATCTTTTAAGTTTTCTTTCATATTATCATCTTCAAGATATTCGTTAGGGTCCAAAAGTTTTGATTTATCTTTAGATGAAGAAGAGTTTTCAAAGATATTATCAACTTTCAGGTTATTATTATTGTTATTATTCAAAGGCTGAATAATTGGTAAAATTTTATTAATAGTGGCAATTTTAGATACGTCAAAAACTTCAAAATCCATTTCTTTATTTGGTAGTGAGCTAAAAACTTCTTGAACAATTTCTAAATCAAGGTTTGTAAGAACTGAAGTTGAGGTTGAAGAGAACGAAGAAGCTGGTGTAGAACTAGTAGCTTTCTTTGAGGCTTTAGGAGTAACATATGGAATAAATTTAAAATCACTATTTTTTTGTTTCACAGCACTTTTACGTGTCATAACTCTCTCGCGTAAGGTAGAAGGTAGTGTAAAATAAAAGAAACCTTCTTTATAATGGGTTTATTAATTAATTTTTTATTAAAAACATACTTTTAAATTTTTTATTTTTCTATGAAAATTTTTGGTTTTGTAAATAGGGAAAAGAGTTTTTTATTCCAATTTTTAAATAAATTGAATTTAATATATATCTCAATATAATCACATATTATACAATGAATACTATAAAAGGAATTTATGCATTTTTATGCATAATGGTTACACTAAAATGAATTGAAACTTTAATTAAAACTAAAAATGACGTTAACAATACTATAGAATTCTTTTTATACACTTATATATTAACAAACCATTCCCATAATTAATTATGTCTACAAGTATTAATTACTATTCTATAATTAATTACATTTTCTGAAATTAATTATTATTTACGTAATTAATTATGTCTATAAGTATTAATTACCATCCCTATAATAATTACGTCTCCTATAATTAATTATTACCTCCATAATTAATTTCGCAATTAAGTTTTTTTAAAAAAATGGTAATTAATTACTAAAATTACGTATTACATATATATTTAATTAAGATAATTATCATGCCAAGTATAAAAACATCTCATAACTTTAAATAATTTTGTTTTAACTAATTTATTTAGTATTGATAAATGCAGTTGTCATATTGTATGTTTTGATGATTGCTTTATTGATTATAGAGATCTCAGGGATTTTGTAAAATAAGTCACTGATAGGATTGAAAAACTATACTTTGAATTCATTAATATAAAACTCTATAAATCTCACTTTAGCCTTCGTTTTTTAGATCAGCAAAAAAAGATAGTGTTAAAAGACCTGCAATTTCTTCAGTTAAGAAAGAATATTACAAGCTAAAGAATTATTTAGTTCAACCCAAATTTTATTGTTCTGAAATCTGTTTACAGACCTTTTCTTCTGAGAAGTTAAAAAAAAAGAGATTTTAACATATTGAAGATGAAATTGCCTTAAATAAAGAAGCTAATTTAATTATTGCAAAATATAAATGGCTTGAAATTGGTAACATTATTGTTATAAAAAAGATTAGTTATATAAGAATAAGATTAGCGATAAGATTAGGCAATGTAATAGAAAGAAGAAATTATTACATGAATTAGCTAATCAGGACTCATCTGCTACTAATATGATTAAAGATGGCACTGTAATTAAGAAGTTGCAACTTGGTAAGTTGCAACTTGGGTTGCAACTGATTGCAACTCCTTGTAAAATTTATTTTAATATAAAAATTTATAAATAGTTGCAACTAGTTAAAAATTTTAAAATTAATTACAGCTCCATCTTTAAATATGATTAAATAATTTTGGAAAATTTAAAAGAATTTGAAAAACTGTTCTCTTAGAAAACAATTAAAGTTATGTGACTTTGAAAACTGAAGTATCTGTAAAGCAATATAATAACATAATTCCAAAGGAAATGCTTAATGAAAATCAAATTGTGAAACAAGACCTAATACATAAATTATGTTTATCTATATTACCTAAAAAGATGTAGGGGTTATTTTGTAATTATCATTCAGATAATATCAGTTTTACCAAAATTATCAACTTTTGCATTAGTTTAAAGAATATGATTTCAGATTCTGCTTAACACTTATCTTATTTATTTGAAATAGCAATAAAATCCAGTCAGCAGGAAATATTAGACTGACACAATTATTCCTTTGAATTTGGAAGTAAGGTAGATACTCTTACAGCTGATGGTAAAATTAAAGATAAAATGACAAAATCAATGATTTATAAGAAAATGAAACTACATAAGCTAACTTACGTAAAAACACTCATAAGGCTAAAAAACATCTTATATTATTTGAAAAAAATGGGATTAAAATAGATAAAATTAAGCTAGTATCATATAGTATAATTAAATTTCAAAACTAATTAATGCGTAAATCCAAAATGTTATAAATCAAGTAAAAAATATATTAGTGATCATCAGAGTCATGTAACTTTAAAAATAATTCTCTTGGAAAACGATCAGATTAATGCTAAGATAAGTATATCGATAAGTATATCATCTGCATTTCAATCTAAGTCAACTTATGATTGATCATATTTTCACAATAAAATATTGGAATAATATCCAAATTTATATAAAGAATTTAGTAGTGAAAATTTTGATTATTATAGCATTACTGATGAGACATCATACTTATTATGCAAATTAAACTATAATAATAAAGAAAATATAAAAAGTAGATATAAAGCTAGATCCTATTTTATTAAATTTGAATAACATGAAATTGAAATAGTTGCATAATCTCATTATTCCTTTCTTGAAGTTTAACTTCTGCAGCAATTAATCTAACTATTTTTTAACAATGTGATAAGAAATATTAATAAACTTTCTATTTGAAAATTTTAATTTTTTTTTCAAATTAATATGAGAAAAAAAGGATTTAAATTAATTTGCAATCATATAAAAAATGCAATATAAGCAAGTTTAATAAAAATATTAACTCCCGAATATCTGGATTGACATGTCAAATTAACTGGTTTACTAAATATTTTGACAGATAAAATTCATTCCAATTTATACAAAAAATATAAAAAAGAAACCAAATATGAATCATGATAATTATCAAAAACTAGGATAAAGTCAACCAAATCTCAAGCTTCTGATTTCAAGTCTATCACTTATGAAACCACATCCTATTCAGAATTAATTATCAAATTTGTCTTAGAGCATTTCACATACCTAAAATTCTGAAATAATTTTAGGAAATTAATAATTATAATTTTATATTAGCTCAGCCATAAGGCTTACCATGCCTTATCTGTGATAAAAAATATAAGAATTATGAATTACATGGCAAATGGTATAACAATGAAACAGAATATTGTTTTACCTGCAACAGTTTAAGCAATAAACTCAAATTCGCAATCATAACATAAGCATCATGTAAAATCAATCACCTAAAAAAATGTGTAATTGTTACTCATTACCATGATAAAGACACAGTATTCAGAATGCCAAAAGAATAGGCCTGTGCAACGTAAACCTGAATTACATATTTTCTTCTAAAGCAAGAACAATGATTTTCTGTATTCACAGAATTTCACAGGAAATCATAGAATAGAATTATAAAAATAATGATAATTTTCAAAATTTTGGCCTGATTTAGTATTTGCAATTATCGTAATGCTGGTTGGCATTAAGTTTGGCAAGAATTTGCGAACAGTAATGTTGGCTAACCTTGTATAATTCTGGCCAAATCACAGAATTTCACAGAATTAACTTTTA